AAAACGAGGAATTGAATGGAGAATGTTGAAATTGGGAATGTATGGGATTAAAGAGTGTAGACAAATCATTTGTAGGAATTGAATTGAAAATGTTGATATATTATCCATTTGTGCATTTATTTCCTGCTTAGAAATAATTGCTTTGGGCTACCGGTGGAGGGTAGTGTTGATTGTTGTAGACAATGCATGTTGATTAGGTAAACTAAAACTAATCAATTGGTTGTGTCATAGAGTATGACGGTTGATAGAATACATTAACTTTATGTATTGAGTGATTATGTATATGACTAATGTGTTTATTTGCATTATGTGTAGACGGTTGGTAGAATACATTAACTTTATGTATTGAGTGATTATGTATATGACTAATGTGTTTATTTGCATTATGTGTAGACGGTTGGTAGAATACATTAACTTTATGTATTGAGTGATTATGTATATGACTAATGTGTTTATTTGCATTATGTGTAGACGGTTGGTAGAATACATTAACTTTATGTATTGAGTGATTATGTATATGACTAATGTGTTTATTTGCATTATGTGTAGACGGTTGGTAGAATACATTAACTTTATGTATTGAGTGATTATGTATATGACTAATGTGTTTATTTGCATTATGTGTAGACGGTTGGTAGAATACATTAACTTTATGTATTGAGTGATTATGTATATGACTAATGTGTTTATTTGCATTATGTGTAGACGGTTGGTAGAATACATTAACTTTATGTATTGAGTGATTATGTATATGACTAATGTGTTTATTTGCATTATGTGTAGACGGTTGGTAGAATACATTAACTTTATGTATTGAGTGATTATGTATATGACTAATGTGTTTATTTGCATTATGTGTAGACGGTTGGTAGAATACATTAACTTTATGTATTGAGTGATTGTGTATATGACCAATGTGTTTATATGCATTATGTGTAGACGGTTGGTAGAATACATTAACTTTATGTATTGATTGATTGCGTATGTGATTCTGTGTTTACATGCGTTATATTGTGTATAGAACCTTTGTGTTTATATGCATTGTGTAGAGGAGGAGATGGGGGATGTACCTCTAAACCAGATAGGATTGGGAGGGGATGGGTGATGAACTCCGTAGATACAGCTCATATGCTTGTCTAGAGAAGTAAAGATACAGCTCATATGCTTGTCTTTGTGAAGTGAAGATACAGCTCATATGCTTGTCTTTGTGAAGTGTAGATACAGCTCATATGCTTGTCTAGAAAAGTGTAGATATAGCTCATATGCTTGTCTAGTGAAGTGTAGATATAGCTCATACGCTTATCTGTTGTAGTGTAGATACAGCTCATATGCTTATCTGTTGTAGTATTGATATAGCTCATATGCTTATCTGTTGTAGTATTGATATAGCTCATATGCTTATCTGTTGTTGTATTGATATAGCTCATATGCTTATCTGTTGTAGCATTGATACAGCTCATATGCTTATCTGTTGTAGTGTTGATACAGCTCATATGCTTATCTATTGGAATGTTGATATGGCTCATTTGCTTATCTGTTGTAGTAGTGATATAGCTCATATGCTTATCTATTGAAAAGTTTGTTTGATTTGATATAGCACTAAAATGTATATCATCATCGTTTGTGAAGTATGGAAGTAGTTTATGTGTTATTGATACAACACCAAAATGTGTATCCACCGTGAATTTTGAAAATTTTCTAGTGATGAACTGTAATCTCATCAAAATGTTTTGGCCAGAGTACTGAGCCCTGTTTTCAAACCCAAAGTTGAACAAGAAATGAAAAGTAACTTGTAACGTAGACTTGGTTGTCATGGAATTGAAGTAAGATGTAAATGGAGGTGTAAGTATCGACCATCTTTCAGTTGCTAATCTTTTAGGCATTGTTTATAGTTGGTTTAGTATATCTCTGCTGGGCTGTGGCTCACCCTATATGGGAACATCATTTTCAGGTACAGGTAGCATGCCACTTCTGAGGACATAGCTTGGGAGGCTAGGGGCAAACTTACTTTTGTTGCCTTATTTTCCTTTTGTTGTATTACATGTAAATTCAAGCCAAGGGCTTAATGTGTAACCGAGTCAATACTCTCTTTTGTAACCAAGTGTTAACTTGGAAAGCTGTAAGCCCGTAGGGCATTTACTTTTGTTGTTAACGTGTAATACTTTTGTAATGAAGTACTCTGATGAATTGAGGAAACGTGGATCTTTTGTACATAAATGTATGTTTATATTGATGGGTTTAATGTTATTATTTTGAGGGCGTTACACATACCGAGGTGGGTTTTCACGAATTGGGGACTTGAAATCGAAGAACTCCATGATTTGGAAACGCACCTGAATTGCAGCAAAGACTTAACGAGCAGTCTCAAAAGTATCTCGTCTTCCGGTTGGGGCACTGTGCTTTTCTGGGTCATCTCGATCCTCTCCTCGAGTTCTCCATGATTCGAAATGCTTTCGACCGCCATGGGTAGTGGTGTTGTGCTTGTCAGGGCGTGTGTATTAGGGTTTTGAGATTCCTCTTAAAACTTCACAAAACAATTTTGAATATGAAAAATTAATTTTAAACTGCTTTGAGCTTTTGAAAATACGAAGTAAAATTGTATGGGCTTTGAAAATACTCCCAAGTTTTGTTTTATCAACTTATATCTTCAATAATTTGAGTCAAGAACAGGAATACCTGACATTTATAATTTCAATTCTCAAATGACATGATAAATATTAAACTTTACATGATTAAATTTGTAATTAAAAAAAAATTAACGCGTAATTTATTCAGAGAGAATTTGAGGACTTGAAATAAATAAATACCACATCTATACACAATTAATCAAACATCATATTCATCAACATAGTAATAATGATAATATTACAAGAATAAATTTCAAGTCTTCACATGAAATCTTATATAAAGTGCTCACAAATTTGTATAATATAATCCTACAATTAATTAGCCAAAAGAATCAATAACCTAAACAACTCAAAAGAACATTCACAAGAAATCAAATTGCCGCTTAGACCAACTCTACCACTACTGTTCTCTTCAAGTTTTCTTCATCATCAGGTGGTTCTTATTGCTCTTTCAGTTTCTTCATCAAGTGTTGGTTCAATTTCTTCATCAGGTGTTGGTTCCATCTTGTCTTGCTTCTTTCCAGTTTTAATTTCTTCATGTGGATCTTCTTTTTCGTCGTTGTCTTCCTCTTCTGGAAAATCACTGTAAGTGTAGAAACTTGCAACATAGTCAAAGATAAACAGATTGGCCATGCTCACCACCAATAATGCAATGTAAAAAAGATCCAAACGGCTCTGATTTACAGTGTCTACAATCCAACTTCCATCTTCAACTCTCAACTTCTCGACCACCACGTCTAATATCATAATAAACCCTATGTTCAGTATTTTTCCCCATCCGATCACAACTTCAATGAGTACGACTGCATATCTCTTCCTCATTGACTCTGGAACCTGATACTTGAAGAAATCCTCCATACCATCACGAGCTAATCCATCCATGATTCCCATCAGTACAAACTGTGGAGAGAGCCAAAATATAGATATTGGTGCAATGGCATCGGGATGACCTAACAAGCCGTGTTCTTTCAAAGATTTTAGCCTTATATACTCCACCAACCAAGCAACTTTACAACAAACCAAAGCGGCAAGCATTCCTAAACCAACCTTCATTCCAGATGAGTATCTCCCATTCATTCGCTCTATTCGTTGTTCAAATACTATCCTATACAAAGGTTTCACTGCAAATGTCGCAAATCCTGCCATAAGACCGAAGATTTGAATGGGGAGTTGAATTTGATGTTGTTTTTTTTGTAATACAATATGAGATGACTTGTCCATTGCATTTCCTTGCGCAATGAAGAGGTGGAGGCTTGATGATTTCATCACCCAATACAAAAGAAAGGTTGCTGAGATTGGAACTATTCTTAACAGAAGCTTTGTCTCCTCAACCTCATCCACTGTGCAATTAATCCATCCAATGGGAAAGCAGTGGAAATTG